AGATCTTGCCAATCATCGTCTTCCATCCCCTTTGGCTTTTCTGCACGCAGCCCTTTTTGAATTCCTTGCTGCGCCAATAAATCTTTTACTCTCGTCTGCCATAATCCGAAATTGCCATGACCATCAAATTTCGAGACCTCGAATTTCGATCCTCCCGTCATCTCCGTCGCCCAATCAACCAGTCTCTGGTACCACTTGTTGAGTGAAGATGACAATATGACACACGAATTAAAAACAAGAAAAGTAAAAAACACAAGATTTACGTGGTTCGGCAATGTGCCTACGTCCACGGCGGCTGAGGGATCTTTTATTATTCTCAATCGTATCAAATACATCAATACACCATGTATTTATACTAAAACCCTACAAGGTATAAATTTACTTAAATGCCCTCTTCCTTTGTCAATATATGAGCCATACCAACATGTTTTATCCTTTCATTATATGGTAAACAAATCGAACCCAGCTCCAACTTCTGATACTCGACCCTTAAATTGAGTCTGACTTTTTAAAATGTAGTTCGGGATTTGGAGTTTAGTTGAGTTTATGTTGTTGAGTGTTAACTCTTTTCTGTAAGGGAAAATAAAGAAAATGATTTGATTTGGATCGTCTTTATTGTACTCACATTATGCTACTTCTATTGAGTCGTGTAATATTGCTTAACAACATTTATTTGGAGAATTAAGGTCGTCCAAGGATTCGGAGTGTCGAAAGTGCTCGACTCGGATAACCCGAATTTCAAACCTGGGGATATAGTCTCTGGTTTTACAGGTTGGGAAGAGTACAGTTTAATTCATGAAGCACCACAGTTGAGAAAAGTGGAGCCAAATGACTTGCCATTGTCATATTACATAGGTCTCCTCGGTAAGTAAGTTCCAAGTCCCAAAATGTAGAGTTGATTACGAGAAGAAATCTCGAGTTTTCGTTTAGTTTCGAAGCTGCTACTTGCTTGTATGTATATTAACCACAGAGATATATATCAAAGATGTTTTTTTTTTTTTTTTTTTTCTTTTAAATGCAGGCATGCCGGGCTTCACGGCTTATGTTGGGTTTTACGAGGTTTGTGCTCCTAAGAAAAACGAGTTTGTGTTTGTGTCGGCTGCATCTGGGGCCGTGGGGCAGCTCGTTGGCCAGCTAGCTAAGTTACACGGGTGCTATGTGGTTGGAAGTGCAGGGACCAGTCAGAAAGTGAGTATATATTTATTTCTTTTAACAACATGCTTGTTCAGAAAAAAAGACTCGATTTTTCTATTGACATATTCATTTGGTGTGTAGAATTAGTGATAATTGCGCGGTTTAACTAATCGCACGATTTTTGTAATGATAAATTGTCAAGGTGGATCTACTCAAAGATAAGCTTGGATTTGATGATGCTTTCAACTACAGAGAAGAACCTGATCTTGATGCAGCTCTCAAAAGGTGTGGACAAAACAAAATCTCCTGAAAAAACCACCCATAAAAATAAATAAATAAATAAAGAAGTAACGAAATCGCTTTTTAACCTTTTTATTCTTTTTGTTTAGATGTTTTCCACAAGGGATTGACATTTACTTTGAGAATGTGGGTGGGCCTATGCTCGAGGCCGTGCTACTCAACATGAGGTTTCACGGCCGCATAGCCGTATGTGGAATGGTCTCCCAACACGGGACATACGATCCACAAGGGATCAAAAATTTATTCAGCCTCGTATCGAAGCGCGTGCGGATGCAGGGCTTTCTCCAAAGTGATTACTTGCATTTGTTCTCGAGGTTTCTTGAGGATGTTACGGGTCTTTACAAGCAAGGGAAGATAATGTACTTAGAGAACATGAATGAAGGGTTGGAGAGCGGGCCTTCTGCGTTTGTTGGCTTGTTTTCGGGTAAAAATGTGGGCAAGCAGGTTATACGTGTTGCTAGTGAGTGAAAACTGGGTTCTTGTTTTATCGGGTTTTTTTTTTTTTTT